TGAATCATTAATTCATCATATGCGATACAATAATCGATAACCAAATTATAACTTGGGATATTAGTCATAGTTAGAATTTCATCAGCAGATTATTTACTGTCATCGCGAGATAATCTGCTGGGCAATGTTCAATTTAGAACGCTGCTTTGCCAACAATGTGACTTTACAAGACAGTACTGCTTATCAATTAAACAAGCTAAAACAAAATATTGCAACAATGTTTCATTATCATAGACAAAGCGGTGCCTCGTATTACACCGTGACTAAATATGCCCAAATCACTCCAAGTGAATCAACAGTGCACTCGACTTCTTGAACTGTAGAAACACTACACAGACGTGTTATACACCAGACAAATCTCCAAAAATATGATCAATAATGTTACCCCGGAAATACAGAGCTTAGATTACCTGTGTAAACTAATAATAACAATAACTTTATTGGAACTTTAGAAATACACATTTACCTATCAGTATATAGCAATAAAAAAAACAATGAATTCAAATTAAAAAATCATTTCTAGATAAGATTACATAGAATTTTTTCATTTCTAACTAACAAGGCATTGTGTATAAATTCTCCTACAGATTTTCTAATATATTTCATAATATTGAATGAATTTTTGGAAATTGGTTTGTATTTCAATGGGAAATCTTTGACAAATATTTTCGAAGTGATAGATATTCGGGACATTCCAGAAAAAATGTAGTTCATTAAGTGTGCATTGACTACACTGACTTCTATTTTCTAAAGCTGATTCCCAGATTGTAATTTGGACAGAGACTGTTTCAGAAATGCTTGTTTTGTATTCTTATTTAGTGCTAGATCTTATGGTATTTTTATAATGATTATAAAATTATTATAAGAATTATAAAATTATTATACGAGGAAATTCACCCAATTCAGCTCTTAATGCAGCGTCTTTTTTGTATATATATTTACGATAAGTATTTGTTTCATGAATTTTAGATAATTTTTTTTTTCTTTTGCTGTGTCCCATTTACATGTATATTTTGCAGCCTGTCTCATTGGGCAATGATTCTGTGAATTTACCATTTGTCCAAAATACTATCCATATGTACTTACAACCAATGGTCTGATTCTTGTAATGACATTTTTCTATCTTTATGTTCATATAATTTATCTAAGGATTCCTGCTGACCAATATTTCAATATTTGTTTTTGAAGTCAACAACAGGTCACCTGCATATAATGCATGAGGTTATTACGAGGATACCTCGAAGTATGCACAAAGACAGTACAGCGCAAGTATCGACCAAGGCACAGCGGAGGTCGATGTGACGGCATACTGTCTGAGTGTATACTTTGAGGTATCCTCGCAATAACCTTATTATCATACATCTTTTCCTTCCAATGGTACATCATGGGAATGCCGAAATCCAAAAAATTTAGAACAGAATCAGCGAACTTCTTTGTGTGGAGAAAGCTTACGCACGTAATCATTCCGTATTTGGAATTCGCATTTCCGTATATGGTAGAATGAAAATACCCCGTAAAATACCGCAAAATTATGGCACGCTGTAACTTGCGGCGTTACGGCGACAGATTTATAATAATAATAAATTAACTTTACCAGTATTACCGGAAATTGTACCTTGATTTTGTCTGCCAATTTTGATTTTGATACAGTGATTGCAATTTTTTATTTTTTCTGTGTTTACAGTCAATTTCCAGTTATTGGTGTATACTGATAGTTTATCAAGACACATCTGTAAGCCTTCTTTTGTTTCAGAAAGCATCACAACATCGTCAGCATAGGCGAAGACAACTAACATGCACTTTGATACCTGGAAAATTAATACAAATATTGAATAGTGTTGCGTTTAGATTACATCTTTGCTTCACCCTGGAGTTAGATAAAAATGATGTTGTAAGCTCCCCATTGGTTTTGATTTTATATGTCGCTATACATGTTTTTAGTGATTTCATTGGTCACACCATACTCCGGTAATTTTAGATATAAAACATTACGCCAAACACTATTCTCAAATCAACAAGGTATGTGTATACATGGAGCACAGGGAGGTAAAAAGAGATAGTTTGTTTGCTGTATTTGATTTCTGATCAGCAGTATCTGATAATCTATCGAGTATAAACAAGTCATTTGGGTATTTTCAGTTAATTTTGCTTTTGAACTCACGTATCAAGTAAATGAACCAGTTGAGTGTCCTATTTAGTCTGTATAGAATAATCATATTACTCATTAAGTAAAGATCAATCAAATGTCGACAGAATTTGTTAATACATGAATTGGAAATCAAGTCAGTATTGTTTCTGATTTTTAAATTGTCATTTATGTAATTTGATGAAATTGGGAGATGTTTTTATTACTGTCATCAACAGTATCAATTAGATTTCCTATTCTGCAATTAAACTCTCCTAATAAAATTTTTACGTGCAATACAAAGTTGTAACAAGCAGCTTGTCGGCTGAGATAGCTCCGCTGTTAGCAATGCACATTTCAATTAAAGAACTGAAGATATCATTAGAAAATGAACAATATGTTGCGGTTTTTAACAAGAAGTCAAAAATATCACTTTTTACCAAAAATGACAAAAATATTCACCAAAATTAGAGAATTGAAGATATCATCATGAAATGAACAAATCTAAGAGAGGTCTACCCAAGTATCAAAGCATTCAGACTTGTAGTTTTCAAGTAAAACATTGAGACGAACGACGACGGACAATCACTCGTATGATAAGCTTCGCTCGACAAAGTCAACAGCTTGTAGTAAGCAAAATTGGCCATGATTTGAATTCAATTCAGCTAACAGCCAAACAATTGATTGACCAATCACAAAAGCTATTTTTTTAATACAACAGTACAACTATTATTTAAAACTTTATTATACAACAATGACATATATTGAGGTATGTATAAGAAATAAAAATAATTCACATCTCAAAAGTAATACCATAAGCTGGCAGTCAGCTGAGCTATAAACACTATAACATGATTAGTCTGAATCTGAGCAATCTGATTGGCTGAAGCAAGGTCTTTATATATCTGGCACTAGAAAACCTGTGACCCCCAAGAAACTGAATCAAGATCACATGACTGTGAGCACTTTTCATAGTGAATGATCAACTGATCAAAACTGGGAAACCTGGTACAAGTACTAATACAAAATTATTAATAACATAACTGGGAACATTGGGAATGAAATTTACAAATACCAATGCAATATAAACAGTAATTTTGTAGCATATGGTATTTAGTAAAAAAAATATAAGACCTATCTTGGTAAAATTAGCATATTTGGGAAAGATACACTTGATTATTATCTTCTACCAAATATGCTAATTTTAACCAGAGAGGTCTTATATCTGCCACCACATTTAATATAATGCAATACTTGAGTCATAAGGGTGGGTCTGTACCATCAACAATGTTATATAATCTAACTCTGAAAGCCACCTCCAATGAGCTATCTCCATAATAACAAACAAAAACAGAGTAACTTTTACAAGCTTGCCATTATTAATCCTAAGACTACATTAAATAACAAATGGATACAAACTCACAATGCATAGTATGACTTGTTTTTGCATAGCAAAAATAAAAAGACTTGAAACAATGAAATTTTATATCTAAACATTTTGCATGGAAAATACCAGGTAAGAACAATTCTGCTATAAAATAGACAAGAACAATAAAGTCATCATAATAATTTCAGTGTCACTCATAGAATAATATAACATGAATTGTAAACAAGCAGCCTCTCGGCTGAGATAGCTCCGCTGTTAGCAAGGCACATTTCAATTAAAGAACTGAAGATATTAGAAAATGAACAATATGTGTAGTATGTATAGCAATCGGAGTTGCTGTTTTCAACAAGAATTCAAAAATATCGCTTTTTACCAAAAATGACATAAATATTCATCAAAATTAGATAATTGAAGATATCATCACGAAATGAACAAATCTGAGAGAGGTCCAAATGTAGTGTATATATGTAATATCAAAGTGATTGGACTTTTGGTTTTTAACAAGAAGTCGAAAATATCACTTTTTACCAAAAATTACAAATTGAGAATTGAAGATATCATTATGAAATGAACAAATCTAAGAGAGATCTACCCCAGGTACATACACACCAAGTATCAAAGCATTCAGGCTTGTAGTTTTCAAGAAGAAGTCGAAAAAGTAAAACATTGACATGGACGATGGACGCTGACGGACAATCACTCATATGATAAGCTCCGCTCGACAAAGTTGACAGCTGAGCTAAAAAGATCAAAAATAGAATATAAAAAATTACAGCAACATGTCTAAGCAAAATTTGGCTAGGAAAAATACCAACATGTTCCTAAATTAACATTATGTAATGCATTATTTACATTGCCCTTCATAACATTTTCAAAACATATGCTTGACAGTATTTTGTTTTATACTACATACTAGCATATTACTATATGTATAAATGTATTCATTGTGTCAACTCATTTTGATGTCTAAAACATTTTACCCTCCTTTGAAAATTGCACTTGCTAGTTACACAAAATTGAACTTGGTTGACATTTCATGGTTATTAATAAGTGACCAAAATTGGAAGATGATCAAGTCAGTTACTACGACAACAACAACAGACATCTTCCTTCATCTTCAATAATACAGAGAAGGTACTAAAATGTTGACAATATGAAGACATGAGATTACTGGTGTATACATCACAATAACAAAGTAACAGAAATCAAACTAGAGATTGATATTTATTATATTAAGAGTACGTACATAGTCATCTAAGGAAACCAATTGCTGCACGTTCAAGTAGGATTTACATTCAAAACAGCAACCACACAGATACAATTTAAGTGCATATTGTTTTTGTACCAAGTCTAATTGAAATCAGTCAAGGCATGTACAACAAGAGTCTCATGTCAAATGAACATAACCCAATTTAATAGTTAACAGACTTCTTTTGCAAATAAAATAAACTTGCTTAACCTTCAACACTGGAGGCACACCATAGAGAATTATTTTCTTTTGTGGCCTCTTGCCCTCCACCCCCTTGAACATGATATTACTGGTTCTCTACCAAGTGTCTCAGTCTCTTGCTGTTGGTTTTGTTGTCTTCTTGAAGATCTTTGTACCACATGAACCTTCTCAGCTAGTTCTATAACTGAACTTTCATTTGATGTTTGTCTCTGTCCTCTAATGTCAGGTTGCTCATCGACATTCTTCTGAGCTGAACATGGTAGCTTTTCCTCTGTTCTTTCTAAAACTCCAAAAATTGTTATTTTTTCATCTGTTCTCTCTAGTTTTACATCGCTTTGTCTTACAGAGGTAATTGATGAAATGTCTTTTTCTAATTCATCATTTGATAGTTTTTCATTTGTCTTTTCTATGTCTACCTCAGTAGGTATCTTTTCATCTGTCCTCTCTAGTTTTACATCGCTTTGTCTTACAGAGGTAATTGATGAAATGTCTTTTTCTAATTCATCATTTGATAGTTTTTCATTTGTCTTTTCTATGTCTACCTCAAAAGGTATCTTTTCATCTGTCCTCTCTAGTTTTACATCACTTTGTCTTACAGAGGTAATTGATGAAATGTCTTTTTCTAATTCATCATTTGATAGTTTTTCATTTGTCTTTTCTATGTCTACCTCAGTAGGTATCTTTTCATCTGTCCTCTCTAGTTTTACATCACTTTGTATTACAGATGTAACTGATGAAATGTCTTTTTCTAATTCCTCAACAATTTTACCTTCTTGTACTTGCACACTTCCAGACCTCACTTCCTCTAGAGCCTGAAAATCAAACAACAAACATAATAATTATAAACATACTCTATAGTACATAGATCTGTAGAAACTATAGAAGACAACAAGTCATTGAAAATGACACAGTCCCCGTTAAATTTTTGAAAGTTCTATTTGTGCTCGTCATATTAAAGGGGTTGTCACGAGTGTGTCCTTGAAACTTGAGTTCCAAGTGGCGTATACAACAGATTGTTTATTTACATCAAAACACGTGTTCCGTGTAGTAGTAATATGGCCAAAAATAAAAACAGCCGTTATTCGGCCATCTTTGATCTGATTATGAAACACACTGATATGTATGATGTATGTGCCAAATACGAATGAAAATGGTACATAAATTGTGGAAATATAGTAGTAGGGCCAAAAAGTCAGATGGCTGTCAATCGGCCATCCTTGACCAGATTTTGAAACCAATTGTCATGGACATGGACATGCATCCTAACATTGAATGAAAACTGACAGAGCACGTCCAAGATACCGCATAAAAAAAAAAACAAGATGTCTGCATATGTCCCACATAAAGTACTAACACATGCAAAGAATGAACGGAATCGGTCCAAGGGATTCTGAGATATGACTCCGGACAGACACACAGACGCACGGAGACTGAATTATAAGTCCCTGTTTTCGGACTTCGTCCAAACAGGGACTAATAATGCTTACAACAGATTCTATAGTATACAGACGTCCTTAATATATCAATACTATAGAAGACAGTAATTATTACAACTGATTCTATAGCAGACAGTGTTAATGAAGGAAATATTGAAAAACAATACTTTTTTTTTCTAACCTGAAAAACAAGCCATGCATTGCACAGTCCCTGTTAGTTATCAAACTTAAGATATATAATTTTGTTCATAGTAATATAGTTCAAACATAAACATGTCAGAGATATGATGATGCTTGATTACAGTGATTTTGAAATGAATGACATTCAGTCATCTTGTATCAGATCGTCAAACGAGTACTTGCCCATATTGAGAGATACTGCTGTGGAACAGCATTAATTAAAACAAAATCGGCCATTTGAATACAACTACGGTATATATCTATAACATGATGTAAAACAAATATATAAAATTTGACGTTGGCAGCCAGCTTACATAGACCTTTCGTCTGTGCGAGTCTACTGAGAGCCTCTATGTGCGTAAGTGATACCCACTGGGCTTGCGGGTCTGGTAAGCCTGGAAGCATGACTAGCATTTCCAACAGAAGGGGAAACTAGACCTTGGTTGGCCAATTAGGTGCGACCAATGACAATATGCGGGTGTGCACCTGTCGAAGTTTTCTCTGGTGCCCGGCGAACTAGCGGGAAGGGGGGAAAGGCGTACACGGGGTTAGCAAAGCGACCCTGGCCCAGGCTCCTGGAGTCAGCAGGAGTGTTATGTACATTGGGAGCTTGCGGTTCCAGGGTGTGGCAAACCGGTTTATCTTTGGACAGTCCCACAGCCGGAACAGCCTGGAGGCTACCCACTGGGGTATCAGCCACTCTGTGTTCTGGAGACAGAGCCGCCCTGAAAGGGCGTCTGCCAGACTGTTCCTCAACCCTGGAAGGTGGTGTGCGGTTAGCTCCACATTGTATTCCAGGCACCGAAGGAGAATTTTGTTCCGCTGGGACTGACAATGATGGGAACGTGTCCCCCCCTCCTTCTTGAAGGAGACCACCGCTGTGTTGCCTGTGCGGAGCAGGACTGCTTTCACTTCGAGTTGTTTGATATGGTGGTCCCAAAACTAATGCGGGGGCCATATCCTTGGGCTTGATTGAGGTGCGCTCCCCAACCTTGGAGGGAGGCATATGTTACCACGAATTTTACCTGCGGCGAGTGGGTCCAAGGGGGCCCCCTGTCCGAGGTTGGCCAGTGACGACCACCAGGGCAGGGCTTCCTTCACATGGTCCTTCACATCAAAACCCGCTCTGTGTTGTAACAACATCATTTCGATGATCCGCATTAGTTCTCAGAGGGGCACTGAGGGAACGCTGATTAGGCGTTCGACTAGGCTGCCTAGTGCTAAGCAACACGCTAGAAATAGCTATACCAAGTCTATCTCTGTGTCAAACTTAATATGCCCAGGAACACCAACTGTGCGTTGGGTCGAGATGGGACTTGTCGATTTACTAAAGAGCCCAACTGGTGAAGTAAATCCTGTGTTAGCCTGATGTGTTTGGCCAATAACCCCTTGTCCGGGTTGTGTAGTAACCAGTTGTCTAGGTACGGATTGAGGAGTACCGACATTTGGTGAAACAGCAGCGCTACCTGTTTCATCACTCTGGTGAACATTAGAGCGCTGTGCATAATCCGAACGGGGGGCACCCAAAATTCGAATACTTGGCTAAGCTGGGCGATTTGAATGAGATAGCCAGCCAGTCAAAACGGTAGATGGAGAGTAGAACACTGATGGCGTCTCCATGCAGAACCGATCGAGGAGCACATACTAATTTAGTCTGCCTAGGTCCAGAGCTAGACGCCGGCTTCCTGTAGACTTGGTACTACGAACACGTTTGGGTAGAAGCCTGGACTTAATACCGGCTGATCTACCCTGTGTATGGTGTCCTATTCCAGCAAACTACTACTTCCTGTCTGATTGCTTCCGCTTTGCAGGAGTCCCCTTGCAGTGCCCAATAAGGGAGACACTGACGGGGGAGATGGAGATTTCAGCGGTATCCCGTAACCTAATGTCACCACCTGGAAAGATCCAGGGATCAGTCACCCACTGTCTCCCAACCGGACTACACCAGCGCAATCTGTGTACGACAGGGATATGTGGCCATGGGTTCGGCAGTTGCGAGAGGCGGGGTGCTCTCTTCTCACATGAGGTGAGTTTCCCCAAGGTCGGCGGTAGTCACTAAGTTGTGACCTGGCCAGTCGCTGAACACATGCCTGTCCCCCCCGGTCGCGGAGGTAAGCGTCAAACATGCTTACCTCGCTGCCAGGGTGGACGACTGCCCGAAGAGGGTGGGGAGCCACCACCTGGTCCCTTCTTCTCTGGGTGTGCGCCACTACTCTTCCCTCCTGTGGAAGTGTATGAGTGCTTGCCTCCTGGCTGACTCTGGCTAGCGGACGACGCCCTAGGGCATTGTGTTTTCTGTGCTTGGGGTGCCTTCCACTTACCCTTGGCAGGGCCAACTGGCTAGCGGATTCGATCTGAACCCTCTGGTTCATTGCACTCTGAAGCTCCAAGACTGTACCCACCATTCACCGAACAAAGAGGGTAGAAGATGTCCAGTCTGCGTCACTGAGGTGGGAACGTACCCCCTGACTCAGTTTGCCGGCGAAAACACATGCGTCTAAGGTCGTGTCTCATTGCACAGTAGTGGCCCCGGCTAAGAGCCAGGTGACACCAGTAAATGTGTTGCCTGGTCTAGGAGGCTGGTGCGTTCTGCCTCTGAGGTCCCGGGCGCGCACAATAATGCGCTCAAGCAACTGTGCCCTTAGGGCATGATGGATCATCTTAGATTGAGCTGGCGAGAACGCCCATGGAACATGGCTGTCCCCCTTTACCCGGTTTGACAAACGGAAATTCATAGTACCGGGGTCTGGGAAAGGAGTTTTTGGTCTCATCCCACACTTTGGGTTCTGATCCCAAAACCACACCGGCAGGTTAGCGTTTAGTCCAGCAGAAAGTGAAAGTGTTGCCTAAAGTTTTTCCCCACCTGGGGCTCTTAAGTGTTACCTCCTCCGCGGCTGACCAACGTCCGCCCATCAACACCGTTTGCACCCCATGCGCCCCACTTTGCACTCGGACGGACTGGGAGAGATGTGCCAACGGGGTTGCTTTGGATCCTGACGCCTGTGATCCCATAAGCGTTGAAGCAACCTTAGGTGGTCGCCTTAGGATCAAGGGTGGGGGTATTTACATTGTATCACAAGGATCAATGATACTCTGCATCACCTCAAAGGTGTGGCTCACCGAGCCGTTACGGATGGAAGACTCTGAGGGGCCGCCCGAGGTACCGGCTGTACCCGACGCGAGCGAACTGTTCCATTTCAACTTAAATATGGGAGAGAGAGGGTGTTCGACTGTGTGTCTCATGACAGGGTTGGTTCCCTCTGGGGACGCCCGTGGGTCGGTAAGAAGGGAGTCAAAACCCATGGCGGAGACCGGACACAAGGGTAAATTCATTACCATTGTACCATTTCTGCGCAACGAACCCTGGGTGGCTGAAGGTAGGGGGAGGTGCAACGTGTGCTCTGACCCAAAAGCCCTGCCCCGAAATCGGAGGCTTGGCTGCCAGCATCCCCGTTGGCATTCAGTGCCCGAGACCCCAGAGGACACCCGGTGTAACTAGCCTGAGCCTAGGCCTCACCCAAATCAGCAGGAGAGCCGCGGTTGTGAACAGGGGGGTTCCCCGGAAGAGACGTGTTTGAATGCAAATGATGCCTTTATGTCTCTTCCTGCTTGCTCACCAGGGGGCCACAGTGGAGACAGCTCGCTCCGACTGCGTCTGATCTACCCAGCCTGCCAGGGACGCAGTTGCCCAGACAGTCCTTCGACCAAAACCCTCAACTCAGAGGCAAACCCGGCACCGTGCAAGGAAGGGTCCACAAAAGGACCCGCAACAGGCCCCATAGGAGGAAAGCCTCAAGGGGCATGGCATCGCTGCAGACTAAAATCAGATAAACCATCGCTAAAAAAACAGACTGTGAGGATGCCCTCCGTTCAGCGGGGGGAGACCGAGAAAAAATATCGGTACCTCTACCATCGAGCCTCCTACGTGACGTCTCGATACACAAAGCCCCGGTAGCTGAGCGTGTGGACTTTCCACTCATGCCAAACACGCAACTCACTTTAACCGACTTTTTCTACTGGACGCGCGACCAACCGGACTTTGCACTTTGCACTCGGACGGACTGGGAGAGATGTGCCAACGGGGTTGCTTTGGATCCTGACGCCTGTGATCCCATAAGCGTTGAAGCAACCTTAGGTGGTCGCCTTAGGATCAAGGGTGGGGGTATTTACATTGTATCACTAGGATCAATGATACT